ATTACCGGGGTAAGCCACCACNGGCGAGCAAAAATGAAAATAATGTTGTCGGGCATGTCATGGGAAAGGGTAGCTCTGGACATCACCGGGCCACATCTAAAATCGAAGAAGGGGCATATCTTTATACTTACGATTTTGGACCATTTTTCAGTGGGCAGAAGCATTTCCGATACAAAAGCACACAACAGCTACAGTGTCTAAGATCTTAACCACAGAAATTTTCCCGAAATTTGGAATGCCGCTGCAAATACTCACAGATCAGGGTAGGGAGTTTGAAAGCGAACTGTTTACCACGCTTTTACATACTTTGGGAATCAAAAACTTGAGAACATAGCCGTACAATTCATCCTCCAATGGGGCGATAGAGCGATTCCACAAAACGCTTAATTCAATGCTGGCCAAAGTCGTAGATGAATCCCAGAGTGATTGGGATGAACATTTACCACACGTTATGACAGCGTACCGGGCAAGCGTACATTCGGCGACAAGGTTCACCCCAAATAGGTTATTTTAAGAAAGGAAAAGTATGATGCCAGTGGATCTGGTGTATCGATTACTTAAAGAATCCAGCCTAGGTGAGACTTACCCTGAATTTGTGAAACAATTGCTCAACCGGTCATTAGTAGCTCATCAATTGGCGCGGGAAAGACTAAAAACAGGGGCACTTTATAAGAAGTCAGTGTATGATGCTAAGGTCAAAGTCCTGACTCTACGACCGAGAGACAAGGTATGGTAGCTGTACCCAAGATCAATGGCAAGGCAAATCTCCAAAATAAGTCAGCCCATACGTGGATCCATATATGGAGGATCATTTAATTCTTCCAGTCAACGCGGCGATAAAAAAAACGACAGAGCTAAACCATTTGTCGTCCACATAAATAAATTAAAATTGATTTGTTGATTAATTTCTGTTAATTTATTCTTTTTTTAGATAGGATGAAACAGTGCACCAAATGTAGAAAAAAGATGTTGCCACGGAACCACAAAAGACATTTTGACAGGTGCACTGGAGCGGGAAACAGTGCATCAGATAGCCAGCTAGTGTCAACGCTTTGAAATTATCTTTCCCGGATATTCCGTCAAACGAATTTTGGAAAAGTTACATAGTTGCAAGGGCATCAATGAGTGAACTGGTCGCAGCATTGACCCCGAGTTTCTCACTTGAAAATTGTGCCGAGGAACCGACACAACGAAAAAGACGAGCAAGCGAAGCCAGGCGGTGGGCAAACCAGTTTTTAGCTTTTGAACTGCCCGATGAAGTAAACCAATCAAAAGAGGTCAGAGAGTGGGCGGACCAAAGCGACCATAAAGCCCTACAAAAAAAAATCACTAAGGTCAGTGCCCATGTCAAGTCGCATAGAATTCGCAGGCGAAAGTTTAGCCGACACACAATGCCCAGCTGCCATACCATCGCTGGTGGACTGGATGGTGGAAGGCCAATTCTACGAGCGCGAGGCGGCTTTCCCTATGGACCAGGCGGTTTCGACTATCAGCACTCCAGAGTGAGCAAAAGAAGATAGTGACATACTCACCTCGACAACAGGCACAGTTGCACCAACAGGTAAAAAGGGAAAAGAGGCCGTCCAGATGGGGCCCGGAATTAATGGCGATTAACATCCCCAACTTCAACGAAGAGCTTTGAAAGCAAACGTCGGGACGATGTTTGATGGGGGGGATGTTGTGAAGTTTTTTTTTGGCGCGCATGTGGAATGAATGGCGCAAGTGTGTATGTTGGCGCGCATGTTGTATGAATTGGTTTTGTGTGCAGGTTGGTAGAATATGGTATTAATTAAATAGTGAGTATATGTTTGAGAATGAATATTTTCTCAGTTTGTTTAGAATTTTAGTATATAAGCGTTTTGGACAATTGTTAGAGAAAAAAAGGAAAGTTAGTGTTTTAAGTTAGTGTTTTGGATTGTTTTGGATTAGTGTTTTGAATTAGTTTTTGGGTTTATTGTGGTTGAAAATTGGTCGGTCGGTTCCTGCATGTATGGTTGCTCTGGCGTTTCTTGTTTTGGAATTTCATTCATTATTACGGCTGGTAAAAATATTTCTCGTTTACTAAGAATATTTAATTTAGTTCTGTCGTTGACTTTAAAAACATTCGATTTAAAGAATATTATAAGACAATATTATTTTGTTTGTTTTATTTTTGTATATTAATAGAATTATTTCAGTTAGGTTTTGTTTGCCACTTTTAAAAACTAAAACATGTTTGAAGGAGACTTGCTAGCGGTTAATAGGGCCGGATTAACCGACCAGCAAGCAGGGCGCGATAACTCTTCCGCCCGGCCCGTGTTTTCCGACCCAGAAATAAAAAGTTGTGAAGAGGCGAGTCCCGGCCAGAAGTGAGACTGCCTAGGCTGGCGGCGGTGGTTAATATTCGAGCAAAGGAAAAATTTCGCCGCGCGGCAAAAGTTCACAATTACTGTAAACCTCGTTCCAAAACATAGAAAAATAAATGAAAACAATAAAATTACGAAAATTACTTCTTTTGCCTCATGATCAGTTGTGAGCGTTAATCGTTTTTGTATGAAAAAATATTCCATGAGTCGTGCAGCTTCGTTGAACTTATTTAAAGCCTGATCAACGCCTAATATAATAATAAGGTTATTTTCAGATGAAAAATATGTCTACATTAATTAAAATGTTGGAAGGGGGCCATAATTTAAGCAATATTGTACGAATACTACTGATTTGTTGGCACTGACCAATATAATATTTGTGTTTTCAATTTTTGTTACTAAAAGTTTCTGGAAATTGTTTAATTTAGTACAATTAAAAATAAAATTTTTATTAAAATTCACCCTTTTTTCATTTATTTCCTCTGTCGGTTGTCTCCAGCCAAAGAGGACGAAATGACTTGCCGCAATCCGTTTCTGTCTTTGCAATCTCTTCTAGTGTTACTCGAGTTCTTCCAGTAGTTTTCCCGTGTAACGAAAGCCCATCTCTCTCCAAACCTCGACCAAGACACTGTCTGCCTTTCAATATTTTCCCCTCTGGTTGATACTTCCAGATTCAAATAGGTGTCCTGCTCACTTTAATACTTCAATTTCCTCTTCTTAATAACATCACTAATATTCATTTGTCCTGTTCTTTTCCAAATTTCCTCATTTGTGACACAATCCTTGTAGCCAATTTGCACTATTTTTCTGACCCACATGTTCTCACAGGCATCCATTTTTTTTCAATGATTCTCGTTAACGCTCATGATTCAGCCCTATATATCAAAACCGGGACTACCATAGCACTATAGGTTCTTAGTTTGACCTTAAGTCCAATGTCATGTCTTTTAAAAACTATGGTGTGAAGTCTCTGAAATACTCCGCTCGTCTGTTAGCGCTGTCCATTTCTTCAATTCCTCCTCTTTCCACAGGGCTTATTAATATGACTTTCTAAATAGATAAATTCTGATGCTGTTACTTTTTCTTCTCTATTCATTTTCACCTGTGGTCATAGTCTGTATGTCTTGTGATTGGTATTACCTTTGTTTTTTTTGTATTTACATTCAGACGTGATTTTTTACATTCCTGTTGAAAAACTTTGGCTATCTCCATTACCCTCAGAAAACATTCAACCATTAGTTTTGTGTCATCTGCGTATTTTGCATTCTGCATATGTATCGGTAACACGCTTTTTCAAGATCCTCAAGCTTTTCCAGTCTTCTCAATATGTACTCCAGAATGACGTTGAATAACATCGGTGATAGAATACAACCTTGTCTAAAACCAGTTTCTATCCGGAACCACTAACATTCTTCTCCTTCCACTCTTATATTTGCCAAAACCGTACCATATATATTTTTGACCAATCGCATTACCTTGGATGTAGCCCAAATTTTTTGGAGATTTTCCATGCTATTTTAGACTCTTCTGATATCCATGTTTTCACATTAGAATTTTGGAATCCCAGTTCTTTTTCGGCCAACCCATTGATTGACATTTTAAACCAGTTCCACTTTTTTCCTTGGACTCTCCCACTTCTGTTACCATTTCCAGTACATCAAATCGATTTTCCATCTCTATGCAACATCATTCTCTCTCGCTCTCGTCTTTTAGTCTTCCTATATTGTATCGTCTAACCAAATTCTGCAGATTCTTTCCATGTAGCTTCATCCTTAGAGAGTGATCAGATTCGATTTTCTGCTGACCAGTAAGCTTTCGTTTTCATTACAAAAGTAAACCACTCTTCTCTTGTAATTATATTGTCACTCAAATTTTGTAAATTACCATTTGGTGACTTCAGCGTGGCCTTCTCTTACTTGGTTTCTGGATGAAATGAGTGTTAGTGACGCAAAGTTCATTACTTGAACATAACTCCAAGAATCTCCTTCCATTGTTGTTTTCTTCTTAATCATCTATACCATAACTTCCAACGGTCTTTCCCCATGTTTTAATATCTCATCCTATTTTTTGCATTAAAATCCCCCATTAGCATCAATATACTGTTTTCGTATTTTTTCGAGTACCCTTTTCAAAATTCTGAAGAACTCATCCTTGGTGAAATCATCACTTTCCTTCGTGGGCGCATATGCCTCTATGAACGTGACATTAGCATGTCTGAATTTGCCAGTATTTGAATTATTCTTCCATTCACGAAATTCACACCCATTACCGTTTTAAATGAGTGGGATGGAGATGTGAAATCCGCGGTCACACACGGACCCATAGAGAAGGTGACGATGGAGGAAGTAGAGAAAGCAGTTAGAGAAATGAAACTAGGTAAGGCGACAGGGGTTTCGGAAGTGGCGGCGGAACATATAAAGGCGAGTGGGGTGATAGGAATTGAAGTTATGATGAGAATTGCTAACAGTATGTTGGATGATGAAGGTATACCTGAGGATTGGCGACATAGTGTGTTGGTGCCGTTGTATAAGGGCAAAGGAGATGTGAGAGATTGTGGGTCATATAGGGGTGTGAAATTGCTAGAGCATGGAATGAAGGTAGTGAAGAGGGTGCTTGAGAGAAGGTTGAGAAATATGGTGACAGTTAATGAAATGCAGTGTGGGTTTATGCCTGGTAGGGGAACGGTGGATGCGTTGTTCATAGTGAGAATGTTGCAGGAGAATTAAGGAGAATTATAGAAACAAGAAACGAAGATTGTATATGTGTTTTGTGGATCTAGAAAAGGCTTTTGATCGAGTACCGAGGAAGGTCATTGAATGGGCGCTGAGGAAAAAAGGAGTGAATGAGAGACTTGTTAAAGCTGTAATGCAGCTGTATGAAGGGGCGAAGACAAAGGTGAGGGTCGGAAGGGAGATGTCGGACGCTTTTAGTGTTAAGGTAGGAGTGCATCAAGGATCAGTGTTATCACCGTTTTTGTTTGTAATTGTGATGGATGTTGTGTGTGGAAACATAATGGAGGGGTTGTTATTTGAAATTTTGTATGCAGATGATTTAGTCTTGATGGCTGATAGCATGGAAGAATTGCAGTTAAAATTTGACAGATGGAAAAGTGTTATTGAAAAGAAAGGGTTAAAAGTTAATATTGGTAAGACGAAGGTAATGGTGAGTGGGGAAGGTGGGGAGCAAGTGATAAGTAAAATAGACCCCTGTGGGGTATGTGACAGGAGAGTGAAGGCTAACTCGGTATAGTGTATAGGATGTCAGAAGTGGGTGCATAAGAGATGTAGTGGTGTGAGGGGGGCACTGAAAAAGGTGGAAGGCACGTTCAAATGTAAGAAGTGTGTTCATGGTGTGATTAATAGGACGGACTCAAAGACGGGGTTGAGTGGTGATATTGAAAGAGTGGAAAGCTTTGTTTATTTAGGGGTTAAGCTGAACGCGGATGGAAGATGTTTGAACACTGTTACGACTAGAGTTCGTGTGGGATAGATGCAATTTAGGGAACTTGTTGGGGTATTGTGTGGAAAGAAATGGTCAGTGAAAATGAAAGGGAGGGTATATAAAGCTTGTGTGAGAGCAGCGATGGTATATGGTGGTGAAACTTGGGTGTTGAGGAGAGAGGAGGAAAGTGTACTGCAGAGGGTTGAAAGAGCTATGGTGAAGATGATGTGTGGGGTTAAAGTGAAGGATAGGAGGAGTAGTACAGAGCTGATGTCGAGGATGGGACTGTATGAGGACATTGTGACATAGATAAGGAGATCGAGATTGCGGTGGTATGGACATGCGTTGAGAAGGGATGAAAGGGTCGGGATTAGGCGAGTGTTGGAGTTCGAGGTTGAAGGAGTGATAGGAAGAGGTCGTCCGCGACTGGGATGGAGAGAGCAAGTGGAGAAGGACAAAGTGAAAGCGGGGTTGCGTGATACTGAGGCGAGTGACAGATGTGAATGGCGTCGAGGGGGATTTCGGTTTCATCATAGGTAGCCAAACGGCAACCCCCGATCTCGGTGAAAATGTCGTCTAAACGTGTGTTGTTGTTGTTACCGTTTTAGCCGGCTTGGAATCCATTGCTATGGCAAGTCCCTTTTCATGTTTGTTTCCAATATCTGGTTCGCAGTACCAAAGTGTATATCCATGTGACGTCATTTTGCCAGTTCACATTCAATGTGTTTCACTGGTCCTGCATATCTCAAGTCTTTTCAATTCCCTTGTCAATTGGAATGATTTTCCTGCTATGTGTAAGGTTCTGACATTTTAATGTCCAACTCTCTTTTTTTAGCATTGAAAACTGCTACTGAATCTGCCCTTCTGTTCGAGTAATTTTTATGTTGGTGTTGAGGTAGGTGTAGGTCTTTTAACCCACCCATCGCGACTGTCAAAGTGCTTCGACCACTCACGCGGACCTTTTAATGCTGGGCGACGTCCGAGCCAGTATTCATCATAAGATAATGTCATTTCGGTCGGTGATCACTTTATTCCAAGCGGTAACTATTTCTTTCTTAAAAACCCTTGCCTGCTAAGCCAGCAAGAGTCACTTAGCTGTTGCCACTCCCCTGGCACTATGAGGCGCAGGTTGGATTTGAGGGGGAAAATCTAAAATCCGAATTCCCCTTGCAAACAGGCAAATGGTTCATATAATGGTTCATCATGGTACTTGAATTAATTAGTGTCATTTTCTTCATTTTCATTGTCTTTAAAGAAGAAAGTGACACCAATAACGAAGAATGAAGAAAATGACACCAACTCGACTATCTTTCATTTTTTAGTAAACTATGTACCAAAGCTGCACTGAAGATGATTTATAAAATATAGAATTAGGCTAATTGCAGGAGGAATTTGGATACAAATTTTATTTTAATTTCAATGAATTAGATAATTTCCAGAAATTTCTAGTAAGAAAAATTGATAAGACAAACTTCAAATTTGTCAGTGCCAACAATTTGATAAAATTCATATAATTTTCAACAACATTAAACAAATGCAAGCCATATGAAATATAACCACTAAAAACCAATATAAACTAACCACTAGTAATTATTAACAATTAATTAACGAAAGAAACTAGTAATTAGTGATAAAAAATAACAGCAGCTCACCAAAATAATTGTAGCAACAACAATGCCGAATTTACTTCATGTAGGTAAAATCAAATTTAGTACATTTACACTGAAAAACAAAAGAAAAAATCTGAAATAATTGATGCAGCAGCCAAATCTAGGAACTCATTGTAGTTTTACTTAAATGTTAATGCTGACATCAGTTTTGAGGTTTTTAGAAGCCGCATATAAAATTATTTCTTCAACAAAATGAAGCCCAACCAGTGGCAAAACCAAAAATTTGCGGTGGGGAGCGATTTTAAAAACTCTTAATATGATTTTTCTTGCTAATCAATCTCCGTGTTTAAGTGTTAAGAAAATAAGAAAAGAAAATTTAGAAAATACTAAATTATGACGTAAAACATTTTACAATTTTAACAGAATTTTTGAAACATTTTCTTCTTTCATGGTCTGGTGGAGGAATCGCATCCCCTTTCCTGGATCCGCCACTAAGCACAAGTAGTGCCACAGGTTAACTCAATAAATAAACCTTACAATACAAATCAATTAAAAATTAATGCAACAACTTTATTAACTTTAACAAAAAAATTAAATAACATACCAAGTTTAACTTCAGATTGATCTGCATTGATGTTGTTATACTCTTGGTTCACCATCAAAATTAAACAGTCCTAAGAACAAAAAATTGAACCATACATAATGTTACTGAAAGTATTTTAACAATGTTAAAGAAACAACTCTGAAATATATTTAACATAGCTTGTTTCCAATAAAAAAAACGGGATTGGGGGATGTTATGATTTTGTTACAGAGTGTTAAAGATTGCGGTTTAGGTTTAGACGTTAAGTAACAAATTTTGTACAAAAAAAAATTAAAACTAAACCTGGGGAAAAAAACAACGTTGCTGAAATTGAAGCCTTTTATGGGAAAAATAAATGTGAATACAACATTTTTTAAAAAGTGTTTAATTCAAAAGGGGTTAAGTCGTTGTTACGGAAGTTTTACAAAGAGGATGATGTCAAAAATAATATAGAACCAGTTAACAAGCAAAATTTACAAAAGTAGTAGATTTTGGTATACGTAGCTAACCAGCAAGAATGAGATAAACTTGCCACTCGATGACTCGAATATTATTATATACACACAGTAGTAGTTCTTGAAGGATAGTTCCCCTAACATAAAAATAGTATATCTTAATTTAAAAAACTTGTAGTCAAAGAGTCAATGCAGATAAAACCTTACTGAAAGAAAAACAGCTAATGGTGTAGAACATACTGCAAAAAACAAAAGGTTATAAAAAATAATGAATATTTTAATTATCAAACTTTTGGACTCAGTCAGTTGTAATCAAGAAAATTAGTTTTAGTTAAAATTTTTATTCCAGAAAACAATCTGCCAATAAAACTCAGATATAGAACATACAATTATTACGGTAACAGGACAAATACGCCAGAACATTTACCACCCGGACAAATACCTTTCGGATTTTTACCCCCGAACAATCACCACCTGGAAAAATACCCCCCGAGAAAATACTCCCCGGACAATTACCCCACGGACAATTACCCCATGAGCAAAATATTCGTATTCAATGTTTTAAAAAATTGTTCATGTCTATTGTTTGTTTGTTGTTTAACTTTGGTTGAATTTGAATCAATTTTACTTCATAATTTCATAACATTTTTTTTTGTAATCATTTATAATTCCTAAAAGCTTTCTTTTCTTTGCTTATATACTTATTTATAATTACATATAATTATTTATATTTTTATATTATTTAAACTCTCAAAACTCTTTTATTTAAATTTTTTAAAGTCATGCAATTTTTATTTTTTTTGTTTTCATGCTGGTCAATATTTGTGTTTACCACCCATATATGTGTGTCTGTACTTATGTATATTTTATGCACATAATCAATTATTTTTATTATTTAATTTTATTTGTACCTTTATTTGAAGTAACATTATTTAGCATTTTTTGCTTATGTTTTTGTCTATACCATATAACCGTCTAGTAAATGATTTTTTAAATGTCTTGAGTATAAACAAAATATATACAACAACAACAACACACGTTTAGACGACATTTTCCCCGAGATCGGGGGTTGCCGTTTGGCTACCTATGATGAAACCGAAATACCCCTCGACGCCATCCACATCTGTCACTCGCCTCAGTATCAGGCAACCCCGCTTTCACCCTGTCCTTCTCCACCTGCTCTCTCCATCTCAATCGCGGACGACCCCTTCCTACCACTCCTTCAAAAAATATAAACAAAATATATGTAATTAATTTTTTTCAAACAATAAAATAAGCAAAAATACAACTGTTTAGAAGGAAATTTTTCTAATTTATAATATTTCTGCATCTTTACATTTCTTGATTATTTGATTTTTCTAAATATTATTATAAAAAGTTATACATGTTGTTTGATGCAAAAAAAACAGTTTTATTTAATATTATAAAAAACAAAAGCAAAAAAAAACCATGTGATTTGATTCAATATAGCTAATATTTTACAAAGGTTTTTAAATTCTTCAAATTTCTTGATTATTTGAATATTACCAAAAATTATACAAATTGTTTGATGCAAAAAAATTTATTGAACAATACTAATTAAATTTATCAAAAAAAAAAAAAAAGCAATATGATTTGATTAAATTTAGCTAACATTTAACAAAGTATACATTCTTTAAAAACTATTATCATTGAAAAAACATAAAACGTTAATTTTTTTGCATTAGAAAAAAAATTAACAACAGCTCAATTTGCTCTAATAAATTAGAAATTATAATTTATTTGTCCTTAGAGTTTTTATATGGGGGGTGGGTTTAGTCCGGGGAGTATTTGCCCGGGGAGTAATTGTTCGGGGGGTATTTTTCTCGGGGGGAGGGGTATTTGTCCAGGGAGTAATTGTTCGGGGGTAATTGTTCGGGGGTATTTTGCTCGGAAAGTTTTTTGCTCGGAAAGTTTTTTGCTCGGTGGGTATTTGTCTGGGGGGTAATTGTCCGGGGGGTATTTGTCCTAGAACCAATTATTACCATATTTTTGCATATTACATAATGCACACATGCAAGTTTCATGCCAGTTAACAGAAAAAAGGCAATAAGTGATGATAATCTTTTTCAACCTTTACATTTTGATAACTTTTATAAAGTAAATATTGTTTATAAGTTAAGATAAAGGATTCAGTAGACATTATCCAAGAAAACGCACCCACCCATGCTGACAACATGCTGTGTTTTTAAATCTCGGAATTAAGACTTTTTTTAACTAATAAATCAATTTAAACTTAATAAATTAAATTTAAATCAAATAATTTTGTTTAATCATATTTTCAATTAAATATAAAATTAGAACACATTATCTTTACAAGAACGAACATGAATAAATAAAATAATACTTGACTTTAATTGGATAAAATATAATTTTGTGTCAACTTGAACATCATGGTTATTTCCAACACCCGTTCACAGTTACTCAGCTTTTACCAGCCTAGTAAGGCATTCATTCCAAGATGTACTCGCAATAATCTATTCAGGTTCAAAATTTGGCGTCCTAAATCAGAACGTAATGCTCCATCATGTGTCTCTACCATCAGAAACTCACAACAAATTAATTTTGGTCTTTTGAACACTCGCTCAGCAACTGGTAAAGCTGCACTCATCTATGATTCAATGCGGAATCATCATCTGGATATGTTGTGTTTAACTGAGACATGGATTGCATCTGATGACCCTGATGTAATCAAGTTTGATATTGCTCCACCTGGCTTCTCAGTTATTCATCAGCACAGAGATTCAAATGATGACAAAAAAGGGGGTGGCATTGCTACCGTGACTATATAGAGTGTTCAAAAATTACCTCTTTTTCTACAACCAGTTTTGAACTACTTGCTGTCAAATTCCATTACATTCAACAAAGAGTTCATATTTTCATCATTTACAGGCCTCCTGGCCCTATAACATCTGAATTTCTAGATGATTTCAATAATTTAATTGAAAGACAAATCAACAAATGTCAGATTCATAGTGTGTAGTGATTTTAAGGCTCCTTCTCCTCAAGCATCTGTAAATGCTGAACTGTTGGAGATCTTAGATGAGTTTAATCTATTGCAACACGTTTGTTCGCCTACAGATGATAAGGGCAATATCCTTGACCTGTTGATAACACATTCAATCATCGTTTCGGCAGTCAATGTCTACCCAACATCATTTTCTGATCACAGCCTCATCACCATTTCCATCTGCACTCCTCGACTCAACATTACATCCAACAAGGCTGCGTTTAGAAATCTCAAAAAAGTAAATTGGTCAAAATTTAATGATGATCTACTCTCCTCATCAATTTTAAAATGTGATAAATAAACTACTAATCAATATGCAACTCACATTAACTCAATAGTTACCCAGACACTTGACAAACATGCTCCATTAAAAACAAGGGTTTTCCGCAAAAACCTATATTCTTCTAACTTTATATCAAATGATGCCCGTAATGCACAAAAACATAGGCGTAAAATGGAACGTGTTTACATGAACAACAAAACAACAATCAACAAACTAAACTATGATAATGCAAAAAGTATGGCCAGGGAATTGATTCTTAAGTCCAGAGGGGATTCGTAGAGAAATGAACTCAATAAATCAATCAACCCGCGTGCCACTTGGCGCAACCTCAATAAACTTCTACACAGGAATCATAATGACCTTTCTCTCAACAATTCCAACACATCATCACTGGTCACTAACTTCAATAATTATTTCATTAATAAAATCAATAACATTCACAAAAATATTGAACAACAATTATTGGTTTCATCAGTTGATGCTGATTCAGATCATATTTCTGCTTCAGCTTGCAATAGTCTTTGCTTTGATCTCTTTGATGATGTCACACCTTATGAGATCAAAAGCATTATCAATTCCTCTTGCCAGTGGACCCTTTCCCACATCAAGTGTTAAAAAACTGCATCAATACCCTATCAACTGCCATTTCCATGTTAACCAATCTCTCATTTCATAGCCAGTTTCCTGACACCTTCAAAACTGCACAGGTTCTTCCACTCATAAAAAAAACCTAATTTAGATAGATCAGACTCATCAAACTACAGGCCGATATCAAATTTATCAACCATTTCTATAATTATTTAAAGGGCAGCACTAAAAAGGTTACAGCCTTACATCTCGCAACATCCAAATTTTACGCCTCTCCAGTCTGCTTATCGTAAATATAACTCCACGGAGACGGCTCTGTTGCACATACTCGATCATGTATTCAATCCTGCAACAGTAAGCAAACAATAATTCTTGCTGGGTTGGACTTGTCGGCAGCCTTTGACACTATCAGTCATAACATATTATTAAAACGTCTAAACATTGTTTTTGGTGTGGATGGATCTGCCTTGTCCTGGCTCTCATCCTACCTGTCTGGTCGTAGTCAATTTGTCAAAATATTAGAATATGTATCACCTACATGTCAACTACAACATGGTGTACCCCAGGGCTCGGTTTTGGGTCCTCTTCTTTTCACGTTATATATCTCGCCAATTAACGAGATTATCAACAGATTCAACGTATCCTACCATCAATATGCAGATGATACACAATTTTTCATTTTATTGAATAATGATATTTCATCAAAAGTGAATGCCATCACTACATGATTGCTGCCATGGAGAGGTTGTTTCTTCTCAATAATCTTCAATTCAACTCAAATAAAACAAAGGTATCACATTATGCTCATTCCACGCAATCAACAAGTTACAAGACCTCAGGATTGGTAATAGTGATATCCCTGTAAGTGATACTTTAAAGACACTCGGTGTTGTTCTTGACAAGAAACTAACTTTTTCAAATCATATTACGTCGATTATTAAAGCATGCAATTATCATATCAAGAAAATATGTCATATCAGACAGTTTTTATCAGTCGATCTGACTGGGAATCTGGCGCATTGTTTGATATTGTCCAAACTTGATTATTGTAATTCAATAATGTTTAGCATATCTCAGAAGCAGGAAACACGCCTCCAGAAGCTGATGAATCGGGCTGCCAGAGTTGTACTAAGTATTGATACACCATCAAATTGACTAATATCTGCAACATCTAATTTGAAAAACCTTCATTGGCTTCCATTTCATCACCATATCCAGTATAAAATCGCCATCATTGTTTTCAGATCGTTGTCATCACATTCACCGTTGTATCTTGATTGTCTTCTTCAACTAAATAAGAATAATCAATATCTTCGCTCCGCCTAAGTGCCAACACTTCTTCAACATATTTCTTCAACCAACATTGGGAAAAGAGCATTTCGTCATGCTGCTGCAAGTGTTTGGAATTCTTTGCCTCCGAATATTAGAAAATCTAGCTTCCTCTCTGTGGATTTAAATCTAATTTAAAAACTTATTATTTTAATTTTGCTCTGAATAGACAATAGTTTTTATATGTTGCTTCTAATTAACCTTTTAATTATGATAATATTTTTGCAATTTTTAATGCTATTGAACTCCTGTTCCCATGATTACCATGGTCAATTGTTATTATTATTAATTTTTTTTATTGCCATTGCTATTGAATTCATACTACCACGGTCAATTATTAATAGTCCCAAGGGCGCCTCAGTCGCTTGCAATGGCACTTTATAAATTTATTAATATTTATTTTTATTATCGATAGAAAATGATTTAGTTTATTTTTGCTGTTTTTTGGTTGAAAATTGAAAAAAAATAAATTAAATACACTGTGAAAATTAAACTTTCATAGACTGAGCATTTTTTGAATCTTTCAATTTTCAATCCTCATTAGAGAGAAAACATGGAAAATCGTAAAGAATTTTAATAAAATAAAGTGCCAATTTGAGAATGACAGAACAAAATAATAAACTGATTAAACTTAAATATAATAAAAATGAATCAAACAACATTGAGTTTGTTTTGCTAAATTATATTTTTGGGTATATGTGAGATTGTGAAAGTGCCTGTTGGCTAACTTTAATTTGCATTTAGATGCTATTCAAGCTTACAGTTGGTGATCTACAGTGTTGCACAGTATACATATTCTATTTAATTAACTTTATCTTTCAAAGCTCAACACTGCAGTAACACAAAATTAATTATCAGTGAATTAATAAACATAACTGTGTTTTGTACTGGAATCAAACTGTACATCAATGGAGCTATCACCCATAAATCATTATTCACATTTGCAGGTTTATTTTATATTAATTATTCATGTTTTTGCTTCTAGCTGACTAAACTTTAACGTCCGAAAGAGCAACTCTAATCTAAAATCTGATGATTCAACTTTTCAACTTATATCCGGTTTATAGTAATATCACATTTCTAACTTTACATTTATATAAATAATTATATAATTTAATAAAATTTAATGATTATATTTATTGAACTTCCTTTTTCAAATGCATTCACAGAATATTAACATGGCATGCTCAGAAAGTAGTGTTGTTGTCTTCTTAATCATTAATGTTAATCTGAAACTCTCTCTCTCTCTCTCTTTCTCTCTCTCTCTCTCTCTCTCTCTCTCTCTCTCTCTCTCTCTCTCTCTATGTCTCTATATTGTCTATATATTCTATCACTGCATTATGATTATGGTATGTGTATGAGTAAATCAAATCTAATAGTACTATACTAAGTTACTACTCTATATATATATATATATATAATTATAAATATATATAATATATATATCCATAACTATACTAACGTGAAAAGCTGTTTCAAAATTCTCCATTAAATTTGGAACCGCCATTTCGACAATTAAAAGTTTTGACAAAACTTTACATTAGTGCCCCAATGCAAACGAAATTCGAGATATTAAGTGGAAGTGAGAGTAGGTTAAAGCGTAAATATGTCTAAAAGTGAATTGATACTAAGACTAATTATTATTAGAATTAAAAAATTATTTATGATCTAAAGTGAAATACTGAAAATAATTTTTAAATATAGTAAAATAAAACATCTTTTTAACAGTTATCAATTATTTAATAACTTTGTAGCGTTAAAATCGTAATTTTGATATGCTTTCAAAGAGAAAGTTTTTAACTTATAAAACTTAACATGAGGCATTAAAATAAACTTTAAGCATTTATTTGCATGAATTTTAACATATAAAACTTAACATGTAGGCCATGATGTAGGCATTAAAATAAACTTCCATGCCTTTATTTGCACGAATTTTAGCATGTTTATTAGTACTCATGGATATATATAATCTACTACTATATCCATGTTAGTACTGTTAATTATTATTATTGATAGATTTATAAAAATATTGATGATTTAAAATGAAATACTGAAAATAAGTTTTAAAAATATAAAATTAAAGTATATTTTTAACTGTCTCAATTATTTAATAACTTTGTAGGTTTAAAATCGCAATTTCGGTATGCTTTTAAAGAGAAGTTCATATACATTGTAGGCATTAAAGTAAATGCATATTGTTGAATGCTTTCGTATGGTAGGCATTAAAATCATGGATTATTATATTCATGATTAAAATAAACTTCCATGCAGTTATTTGAAAGTGTTTTAGCATGTAAATTAACTAGTAGGTATTGAAATAAAGTTCCGTGCATTTTTTGCAAGCATTTAAAAACACAATTCACCACGTAGGCAATGTATACCATGGAATTATATAATTTTATATAATTATATAAAATTATAATTATATAATTTTATATAATTATATAATATAATATAATTTAATGGAATTATATAATTATATAATACCATGGAATTATATAATTCAATGTATACCATTGAATTATATATAATTCAATGGTTTTGCCAGTTTTAGTTTTATTTAATTAATTTGAAACGCAATGTCGCATATGATTAGATTATTACTTTAGTAAAGTATTTTCAAGACTTTCGCCACGAAAAACTTGACCTAGATATTAATATACTAGAGAAAGCCAAGAGGCTGTGTATTTAAGTTAAAGATGGATACCGATAGCCTTATGGAGCATACATAAAGACCCTCTAATTAACACAATTTTAAAACTCTCAAATTATGTGAATTTATTAAAAAACGAGTATTTGTCAATTAAAAACATGTACATATGCATCGCGCATGCGTTGTCGCAGCTTCAAAAATTCCAATCAAATGACAAAACTCTTTCATCGTAATATTACATTTTCCTTCTTGTATATTAGTTCAGTTTATACATGTCATTAATAGTCATTAGTCTCTACCTCCTCTTTTTTATGGCTGTCTCCATATACATACATAGTAAGCACATTGCATGGTAATTAGCATATTGCGCTAGAGGGTCATATATTTAATTACTGTTAGTGAATTTAACTAAATATCATATTATCTTTTGAGCAAAGAAGGAAGCAGTTTTGCAATTGTGGAATTATTTATTACCGAAACAACTATTTAAAAAGTATCAAGTATCCAAAATCTGTTATCAGTTTTTATTTGAATATTTTATATTTCAAAATAAATTTTTCAAATTATTTTTTACACTTCAAACGTTTTGCTTGTTTCAAATTTAAAAAATCTAGAAATTAAATTAGATTGAATTTACACTAATGTGCAAATTTTAAAATTTATTATATATTTTTTATAAATTTATATATTCTATAGGTAGCCAACTCAAAATTATCAGTCAGTCTACAACACCAGCCATGAATCTCCACCAACATAACTGCCAAAGCTAAACTATATTTCGCATCACCACATCAACCATATGAACAATCAACACAGGAGTACTCCAAGGGTCCGTGATCTCAAAAACCTTATTCAATGCTTTCATCAGAAATATACTTGCACCTCCACTCAACATTAATGATGTAGGGATCAAACATTCATTTATTAACTATCTTATATATTAATTATTATTAAAGATTATTGCAATTTTCATTGTTACCTAATCTATGTTAATTTTTATTTCTTTGCTTCTCTCTCGATCTTCTTTCTTTTTTCCTGAGAGCTTGTAAACGAGACGGTTCGAGATTCACGTTAGAATAAAGATAACATTTTATTACGCCTGAATTGTGTTTGCTTTTATTTTACTTCACAACAAGGTGTCTTGTTAGTAACAGGACGCTCGTACTAAAAAATTGCTGACCCCCCGACGTGATTCTTCTGACGTGAATCAAAGACCTTTATGGGTACAGCATCGAAAGGATGGTTTGCAATTGCTGAAGCTCAATTTCATCTCCGAAAAGTTAGTTCATCGGAAACAAAATTTAATCATATCCCATCATTCCTACCGGCAAATTAAGTTGTAAAATAACCACAACACTTGTTTCATGATAGAAATTATGACGACCTCAAAACAGCGGTGATATCGATTTGCGAAAGAACAAAACCAGAATTGCTCGCTCGCATGATCGGAAGTACTAAAATGATCGGCAGACCATCATACTATTTACAAGAATTAATAGCAACAGCCAATAAAATTAGGGTGGCAGACAAATTCGTACGTCATATATTTATAAAAGCTCTTCCAACAATTTCTCCAGTCATCGCAGCTCAAAAAGATTTCGATCTACAGCGACAGGGAAATTTAGCAGATGAATTAATCCCATTTGCTAAAAACGAATGCTATGAACAGAGAAACCACGAACAACAACACACTTTTCAACAGAACGAGTTCAACAAACAGCATCCCTGATATGAACATCCCAATCA